ATAGTTTTGCATATTATATTCCATTTATGTCAATAGACCCTTTCTAAATGTTACACACTGGACCTGTAACTTTCACTTTTAATTTTGTTGTTTTCAGATTTGAGGTCAGCACAAATTCTAAATGGAATTGTTCAATATTTTGGGAAAATGTGTTTACTGCCAGCAGCCTGTAATGTTAGCTTAGCATAAAGACTGGAAGCAGGGAGAAAAAACTAGCCTGGCTCAGTCAAAAGGTAATCAAATCTGCCTACCAGCAGCAGTAAAGCTCACTAATTAACACTTGTTTGTTTATTTCATACAAAAACCAAAGTGTAAAAACAACGCATGGTTTTACCGGGCTATGTGCCAGACTATTTCTTGGCCAGGCACAGTTACTTTCTGATGTCTAAGTTGGTTGATAAGCGTATAATGTGTGAGGTATAACATGTTATACCCCCACTTTCTATTCTTTGTGCTAAGCTATAAGCTATGGATCTTCTCATCTAACTCTCAACAAGAGTGAAAGAGCATATTTCGCAAAAATTCTAAACTATTCCTTTAATTCTAACATTTGAGTACCTATTTTGGTGTGTGGCTTTGAATACAAATTGGGTAAAATTAGAACCTATTTTCATATCTAATTTGGCATTTTCTTGCTGTGAATGCTCAGGACAGCTGAAAGAATGGGGTAAAGACATCTCATAGGTTACCTGATGCACCGAGATTTTTCCCCTGCAGCCTGGAGGCAAATGTGATGTAACCATGCCGTGATTTATGTAAGGATCATGACCACAATTATATTTACCACGAGCAACGTTCTTCTATCACGCTTCTGTCTCAAATGAGGCTCCTGAAAGAGCTATAAAACTGTCAAACATACCCTGATTTATGCTGAAATTCTGTTTTACCCCCTCTTGGCAATGTGTGTATAGAGTGTGTGTTGGCTTTTGTGTTTTTTTCTGGTGTGTGTGTGAAGTAGCTACCTCCACAGATTCGTTAAGGGTCCAATTATGATGATGATTTGTTCCCTGCAATGGCTTTACTTGGATGACCTAATTTCCTCATTGAGTGTGGGGAGAAGAAAAAAAAATACTAGTCCCTTTTTTCTTTTCCTCCTTCAAAGCACTCCTTCCTCCCTTTTTCTTTCTTATTCTTCTCCTCCTCCTTCTTCTTCTGCTGCCATGACGCTGCATTCATCCGTATGGTGACAAAACATTGCTGTCATGCATTCCAGCAGTGACAACGTGACACGGCCCCTTAAACCCTTGTCACTCCCTCTACCACACTCACACACGCATGCACCCAAACACACACACACACACACATACACACACACACATCCTGCATGCCTTGTGGAAGAGTGATCTCGCCAGCATAAAGCACCGCTTTTGCATAATGACATTTCAAGGCTGCACACACACACACACAAATACATGCAGTGACACTCCACTGACAGAGCTGAGCGACAGTACAAAAAACATTTGAAAACATGTCATGTGTTTTCTTATGCCCTTCTACACATAACTCTATCTGCCTCTGTCGTTTTGCAACATTCACTCTCTTCACTAAAGCTTATAGAATTTCCACAAGGATGTACTCATCTCTTCCTGGCCCTTTCAGTCATTTTAAAAAAAGAGTTCTTCTTTCATTTGTTTTTCCTACTCTTTCGACCTCTAGATTCTCACCCTTCACCCTGCTCAGGTCAGCTACTCACTTTATCAGTTTGGTCAGCTAACCACTTTCTCTCTCTCTCTCTCTCCCTTAAACACACACCCAGAGCTCATGGGTAAGAAAATCAGGGACTGTAACAAAATAAAGATGAAACTTAGATAAGCGCAACAGGCAGCACACCAAGACTGTGTGCAAGTGTGTGTGTGTTGCATGCATGTGCCATTGATGGCAATCGGTTGTTTGACAAGGGGCAGAGGTGATGACAGGGTCGTTTGCCTTGCCAGGAACTCCCCCCGTAGCCACCACACTCTATATACACACACACCCTTAGCCCTATTCAAAGCCACTCACTCATGTGGTAATGTCTCTATTGTGACAGCCTGAACGCTTTATGGGCAACAGCTTGGTGCTGGCATTTGGGCAGAGGCATTAGTGTGCATATGAGCATGTGCGTGTGAGTGTGTGTATGTGCCTGTGTCTGGCTCATCCGCTACGGAATCTGCCCATCTAGTTGTTGGAAGCATTGAGACCTCGACTCCCCTGCTCCAGACCGGTGACAGACGAGCAGAGAATTGCAGGACAAGGGATGGGAAGCAGGGGCAGTCTCAAGCGGGAAGATTAAAGGGCAAGACCGCACACACACACACATACACATCCACACACATCATTCCACTTCACTCCACTCTTAATTTCCTACTGCCATCGTCTCAGTTAAGCAGGCAAGAGCGATTCGTCATGTCAGAGAGCCCTGGTGCTGCCATACAACAAAAGGTGAAAGGGAGTGTGGGAAAGTGCTGGTGCACAAAGCCCTCCCTGCCCCCATCTGTCTTGGTTGCATACGCGGGCCGAGAGCCCCTTCAGCATCCCCCACCCTGAAGTCTTCAAGACCCCCATCTGCGAAAACACAACCAATCTCCCATAACCTATACATCCATATCCTTAGCTTACGTGGTAATTTTGCAGCGCAGTACGCCGTAACTCAGGAGCACTGCTACTGCCAAGAGCGAGGTTACAATTTTCACTGTGGCCACCAATCCTTAAACGTCTGAGTTCATAGATAGTGGGCACAGAATATCTCAACATCAGGTCTCTGGAGCTCCCCAAAAAAAACCCTTTAACTCAGTCCAGACAGCCATTTAGCCAGAGAGATAGAGGGAGGAAGAGACGGACAGACGGAGGGAGGGAGAAAGAGATAAAAACAGCTATTCAGAGAGGAAATTCTGCCAGTCCCTGCCAGCTCTACCCACAAAAAGAGAGCGGGAAGGAGAAGGAGGATCTCCTTGAGAGTGACACCAGCTATGCAGACAGAGCAAAAAAACAAACAGACAGACAGACAGATAGAAGGGCTGAGAGAGGAGGATATTCACACTGTTCCAAGCTTCTTCTGGGCTGTATTTTCTCTGGTTGGTAGAGAGCAAATATTGGGGGAACACAAACCCAGACACACACTCACACACTTTGACTAACTGCTGACTCAAAGGCAAAGTGAATGTTGTCTGGCTTATAGCTATAGATCCTCAAACAGAGGAATGATTTAACAATCAATGAAAACTGACCTTGCCTTCCTGTATCACATTCCCGCCTGAGCTGACCTATTAGCCAATGATGAGAAAACATGCAAATGTAACAGGGGAGGTGAGCTGAGCAACAATTTGAACAACA